ATCATTTTAGTTTTTTCCCATAGACAGGAGATGGCAATACAATCATTTTTTCGATCGTAGACAACCCTCTATGGTATACTGTGTATAGTGGGTTGCCTTTTCGATTGTGATGTGCCCTGTGATCACGGTTTGTAGAATAATACGGTTGTCTCGTAACTTTTTAGCCAATCACGCACGGTGTCTCGTGACGTCACAAGAATTCGAGTGGCATATTCCGACCATCTCAAGTGTAATGAAAATAATGTTTTTAATAATATTTAGAGGGTCAAATATTATAAAAATTGTGACAATGGACAGGAATAATAACTACTAAAAGTATATTTTCCATAAATATATTAAAATTTAAAAGAAGACGGGTATTTTTTGAATTAAATGATAAATGGTTTATTTGTATACCTATTAAACGGTACATATTATTATAGTTATTTCGGGCCTTAAATTCTTAAATAAAACAAAGTATTACGACAAAATATATTTATATCAAAGTAAATATAAATAAACATTATAAACATAAATAAACGAGATATATAATAAATAAACGATATGAGATGAAACGAATAAATATGAATAAACAAGATTAAATTAATATTAAAAATGAAAACTTTACGTAACAGTTTTTTTCATTTTTTTAGAAAATTTTCTGGCTTCATCGAAAATTTTCTGGCTTCATCGCTGTCACGTTTTCTTTTATTTAATGTATACTCTTCAGATTTTTTTAAATTAAGGTATTTTATTCTAACAAATAGCCTTTCGTACAAATGAAAAAATTAATTGTTTTGCGATGAGTGGTTCTTTTTTACTAATAAAATTTGTTGTACGACTAACAATTTTATTTTTAATTTTAAATTTGTCTTTATGAATTTTAATGAACCACTTATCCAAACGTTCAACATCACTTTGCCACGTAGATGAGGGCTCAGTTAAGCCACCAAACGAAAGGCTTTGTACCCATGACGGCATTGCATACGAATGAAGGTTTTTGGCCTCATTCTTATATGTGTAGGTTCCAAGCTCTGGAAATTCTTTCTGGTGTTTTCTGGCCAGATATCCAACGATATATACCAAACCATCTTTTTCATAAATTGGCTTGGTTGACGTATCAGAAGAAGTTGTACTCGAAATCTCACTCATTTCTTCATCGCTAGTAACTTTTGGTATGATTTCCTTTAAAGAACCAATACTAGCCTGATTTAGTGCTTTAGCGAGTACAAACTCTTCTTGGTCTGCCTCCTTTAGCTGCTGCGAATTGGTATTTTTCTGTACGATCCCTGGGTTTTTTCCAACAAGAATCATCCTTAATCTATATATACTATTAAGGGGAGCAGGATGGTCATGTAAGCCGCCTCTTGATCTAATCTGAAAAGTTAAAAAAATTTTTTTTGAATTTACTAACATTTAATAAAATATATATAACTATACCTGGCAAAATAAGTTTTCAAGACAATCTTGATTCAATCTATGTGTCAAGATATAAGAAGCTTTATATCTCTCCTTCATGTCTTGAAATAATTCCTTCAAAGATTTCATTGACAAACTTACCTGTTTCTTTGAGTCTTTTTGGCATAGTATTTTTTATCTGAGCTTCAATCATGTCTTCATACTGATCCAGCGCAAAATGTTTACTGCAAATACGTTTATTTTTTGGATCAAAGGGACTTTTCCTTCTACAAAGACGAACCCATTGTTTCAAAACTTCCTTTTTTTTGGGGAAAGTAAAAAATCTTATTAATTCCCCTTCCTTTTTTGCCCTTTCACTATTACTTTTACAAGTAGCCACATAACAAACTGTTCCAGTCATTTCTACGATAGAATATTGGAAAAATATTAAAAAATAATTTCAAATCATATAGTAACAATTTTTATATTTACCTGACTCCGCGATGAAAGAAATATATAATGTTTAGAACTAATTAATAATTGAAAATAGTCTTTAAATAGTCTGATATAGTACTAAGAAGTTAAACACAATAAAAAAACACGAAAACTCAAAAAACTTCAATAGAAACCACAATTAACATCAACAACAAAAGAAAACTACGAGGAAAACTACGAAAACTCGTAACGATTAGTAGGCTCAAGCTAACTCTAGCATACTGGTGACGTATTCCCCCCACTTTTGCCAGCAAAGTGAGGTAACCGTATTATTCTACAAACCGTGCCCTGTGATCTACCGACGTGTAGGACACTTTCCACTAAATGCCGGTAGTGAATTCGTATTTCGTTTTCGTAACCGTCATTCAAACGCCAAGATTTTATCAAAATACAAACTCGCAAAAAAAACACGAAAAATAGAAGGAATATTTAGAAAAAGTGAGAAGTGTGAAAATGTGCAAATTAGATAATTTTATATTAATAACTGTGTTAACTACATTCCCTTTCAAAATGGAACGTTTTCGTTTTTTAAAATCAATTCTACTGTATTTGTAGTCAATATTATTATTTGTGTTACATTGAAATAAACAGAATATAGAATATAGAAAATTGATTATATTCATTACTTTTTTGTAATTTAAAATTAACTTTTTAACAGAAAACATTTTCTTTAGTTCTTCCCATAGACGCTAGGTTCGCAGTGATTTTTTAATCTGACGGGAGTTGCCTATCTATAACTTTATTACATATCTATGATGTCAATCTTGAACGAAACGACTAAAAGAGAAGAAATTCATATACAAAGTGCGACATTGTCATATTGTCACTGAACTTAGGACACATAGTTAAAATTTTCCAAAAAGGTTACGGTGCAAATCCGTTAGAGTTAAAGGAACATTACAATCTAAGGTATACTTTATTAATGGTCCCTTAAAAATAAGTCGGTGCAATCGGCCGTTAAACATCTAACGCCACTAACGGCGTCGGTCGGTCGAATTAAATTTCTGGCATCCGTTTTTCTACAATTGTAATATTTATTAAACGTCAGACTTACCCCAAAAAGAAAAAATAAGTACCTGTATTGAGGAGCATACCTCTTGCACCACCTTCATTTTTCTATATTGAGAAACTTTTACTTTGAAATTGTTTTTTTTTCTGGTTGGAGTTATTTTTAGATGTGAACCACGACAATTTCGTTTATTGACAAAAAACTTATTTTTAAAATGGAGCAATATTTATTTAATTTTCCTTAATTTATCGTGGACGATACAAATATCAAAGTAAAAATATACCAATATCAAAAAATTTAAAAAAAATCAATTTTGCGCACAATTAATGAAAGAAAGGATATTTTATTTGGAAAATTTAGTCGCATTTCAACGAAAGCTTTAAAATGTGAGCATTGGAACGACCAAAGGCATAATTTCTATACGTTATTTGCATTAGGCGGGGACGAATTCGTTTTTATCGAATTCATTCGAAATCTTTCATTAAACTCCTCCATTGCATTCTAATTAAAATTTATTCTTTGGCAAAAATACACGCCTTCGTCGTTGACGCCGTACTGGAGCGTTAGCCTCCTCTTTACTGTCGCTAGACTACATTTTCTTTTAAATTGGATGGTGACAGGAAATCAAGTCCCTGTCGCTTTACACTAATATATGATAGGAATAAATGACGAAGTTTTAATCAATTTATTTTTAATGAAACGCAAAACTATCTACAATAATTTTAAAACATACAAGTCTGTTAGTCATATTAGGCTAGTCACTTGTCACTAATAATCTACTGTGTAATTTTATGCAACACAAACTTTTCAAATACTCCAGTCAAATCTAGACTACACTTGTCCGACAGTACTTGTCAGTTAAATGAAACAGGCCCCTGGTCATACTATAAAGAATTTGTACGTCTGCACTTGTCTGCCTTGTCCATCACTTGGCTTAAAGACGGACCGAAGTATATTTCGTTGATGCTCGCAATGACAGTCTCAAGTGTATCGGCCTCCGAGAATAGTGTTAAATCGAGTGAATAGCGAATCTGATACATGCTCTTCATGAAAATGGGAATTTTTTTAAACCACTACTAAAAATTTGAAACTTCATTTTTTGTTTTTTACATATTTACCTGTATAACCTCGTCCACAATGGTTATTTTCTTTTTCTTATTAAATTGACAGCCACAGATAAATTTTATGATTTACATTAGTTAAAGCCTTAGAAATTTGCTGTGTACTTAAATATGCGAAATAAGCAAGAAACACTCAAAATTTGTAAAGTTTACTCAAACAGAGCAAAAAATGCTTTATACATAATTCTAGCTTAACTAGATTTTTTTGTCAAAATTATACTATGTTTAAAAACTTGGGAGAGCGATTTAATAAGCAGACTTACACCCAAAAATGTTACTAGAAAAGCGAGGAGGCAAATTTAATAGAAATTACGATAAACGACTGGCAGATAATTTAAAATGCAAAGTTCATTTTCTAAATAATTTATGGAAATGCATAATAAAAAAATAAATTTTCGTAGGGTAGAAGAGGGTACGGTAGAAGGGGTTGGGAGGGGTAGAAGAGGGTAGCAGAGTATAGTATGATAGAAGAGTATAGCGTAGGTTAAGGGAGTGGGGGTATGTAGCGGGGTGTAGAAAAGGGTAGGTAGGAGTAGTGTAGGGCAGCGGGGATGTAGAAGTGGTTAGGGGGAGTAGAAGAGGGTAGGGTAGCGATTTAAGTTTCTCGAATTAATAGTTCGGCTTTTAAAAAATTTAATTACAGTTTATACCGATTGGTTTTATTCACAAAAATGTATATTACAATAAAATTGGACCGAATTCGACAATAGCTAATATCAGACTGATTTTTATTAATTGAAAATTTAGCGATTTACTGAAAGGAAAATGATTATTGCTGAGGTTGCGTCTGGGCGAAGGTGCATCGGGTTGCTTGCTCAGCGCTCGTGTATCCGGTTCGATTATTGAAAGGTACCAATGGGGTCACTGTCCATAACTCGCGTAACACTCTTTATTAATTAAAGTAACAATATTATCAAAAATACTTAATCTCCTGTAAAATTTAATAAACTGAAATTAACAAGTTAGGGCATCTATACACAGAATCGTTCGGTTCGTAGGACATGCCTCTGGGACTGGCCGACGACATTTACGAGCTGATATCAAAATTGCCTGAGAGATTGGACGAAATGGAGGACGTGGTGACGAATAATCGATTGTTTGTACAGAGAACCAAAGGGCTTGGCGTTGTGGATGCTCACGAGGCGCTGAACAGGGGATTCTCGTAAGCGAATTTTATCTTGTCTTTTGGTAAAGTTACAGTTTGAATTCGACAGGCACGGTTGCCGAGTATTGTCTTTATTTGGTTTAAGGAAAAGTTAAAAAAATACTAATTCGATTGAAACAGGGCTGGGAAATTTCTTATAATTACAATTCTTGTTTCTTACAATTAGGTTTGAAAATTCTGAAAATAGGTTTTCTTTAAATATACAGTGCATTTCTTTAATGTCCCCCCCCCCTTTTATTTTTTGAACGGATCAACTTAGAAAATTGAAATTTGGGATAATGAAACTAATGCATGATTACTATATTTTGAAGTAAAATTGACAGATGAAAATTTCAAGATGGCGACTGGGCGCCATTAATTAATTAATTAATACCTTATGCTAATTAATGAACTTGAAGTTGGATACATTAAGAACGGTTGTAAGCTTTTAACGACATTTCATTAATAACATTTTAACAAATTGTGAAATAAAGCTTTTGGTAATATTTTCTCTACATACAATAGAAACTGACGATATTCAGTAGCTTTCCAATGTTCTAGTTCATTAATTTTACGTGGCTTTCTAATTCATTCTCTAGGCCAAAATGATCTCAAATTTAAAATTTCAACATTGAACTGTTTAAAATTTTGTATCCTATAGGATCGGCCACAGTCTCCACAAAAACAATAACTTTCTGGTTACACCCAAACAAACTGAATGCATATAGTCTTTAGGAAATTGAATTATAAGATCTATTGATTGTAATAAGTTACAATAAATTAAAATACATTAATTAAAATTATAGGTGTTAAACCCTTATGGTAACGATTAGAGTCAATATTTATAAATGATTCATTATACGTTTAGTACGTTCGTCAGAAACAGTTAAATCACAAAAAGTCATTCTTCGATTAACAAATGTTCCTATAACGCATTTGTCACAACCGTCATAACTATTATGACCTAAGACATTTTTTTAAAAAAGACCTTGCAGGCATATCACAACAAATGAATCGAACTTTTTTTATTTTCTAAGGCTATTTTGTAGATAATCAATTAATTCGATTAAAAACGTTTCTAAATATTCTTCTAATGAGGGTTTTTTATTACCCCAGTACAAAGCAACAATGAAAAGTTTCTGATTATCAATGTTATGTACTTTACACAAAATTGGCCAAAACTGTTCATTGGTACTTTTATGTAATGGAATTCCATCTACATTGAAGTCTAATTCAAGCTTATTGTAGTTTGTATGTTTAATTAATTTCACTTACGATTATCTCATCCCAAAATAATGAAATTTTCCATTTGAAACCTGTTGAATATAATGTCTGGGTGTTTGCAATAATGTTCTGGCATCAAGAGGCAAATCAAAAATATTTGGATTCAATTTAAACCATTTTAACAATTCAGTTAGTGCTTTATGTGGAATGTTCTTTGACCACTCAAAAAAAAACCTATTTAGAGTCCAACAGCCTTATTCATAGTCGTATTTAGTGGATACTAACACACAACTAACACCCCACTAAAAAATCGTATTCCTAGTTCAACTTAGTGGCTAGTAAGACGTTATTTTTGTTAGTAGCCACTAAATTTCTTAGTGGCGTTACAAGGGGTGTTTAACGGCCAATTGCACCGACTTATTTTTAAGGGGCCATTAATAAAGTATACCTAAAATTTTAATGTTCCTTTAACTCTAACAGATTTGCACCGTAACCTTTTTGGAAAATTTTAACTATGTGTCCTTTAAGTTTAAGTTCAGTTTGAATGTCTTCTCTTTTAGTCGTTTCGTTCAAGATTGACATTTCTTTTCTAACCAAAAATATTACGGCTGAACCAAAAAAACGTATGGGATTCATTAATTTCGCGCATAGAGAACAAAATTTGTTGTTCTCAATAGTATTAAAATACAGGGTGTCCGGAAATTCAGGTTACAAACTCCGGGGAGGGGGCTGTAGGGGGTGGTTAGTCAAGCATTTTGAACATATGAACTTGGATTTGACGACGTGTCCTAGCGGCTCTAGGCGTCGTCAAAGATACTTCCATTCAAACTCAATAACATTTTAATTTTATATCAAGTTTTAAAAAAGATCTCCACCTCTTGTAACACATGCGTACCAGAGCCGCAGGAGAGATGCTCTCACTGATTGAAAAATTCCAGAAGTGTCTCTGATCTCACCAGCAGTAGCAACAATTCTGGACACAAGCTCTGTGGTCAAACCAAAAAAAAATAAAAATAAAGGCTGTTGCAGCCTGGAAGCGACTTCCGGTCCGCTCAGGCAGTTAGTCGGTGCGCGGTGCTTGTTGGCTGCCAAGCTGCCGGGGCGAATGGAAGCATCTTTGACGACGTCTAGCGCCGCTAGGAGACGCCGGCGAACCCAAGTTCCTATGTTCGCCTCAAGAATGAAGCGTGGAAAAAAATTAAGGATGAATTTCAAATAAGTAATTTATTCGGTAAATTCAACGTGGGAATAAATGAGTATTTCTTTAGTTTGTTTCCAAATCTACAAACCTCGGTGAAGTGAAGGTCACAGAGACTGCATATCCTTTCAATAATTAGTAAGATTTATTGAATAAATTCGGATTGTCGATTCTTTTTACCCAAATTTGTTGAATCAATTTGTCCGCTGGGATGTAATGTCTATGATTAAATAAGTATTATAAGTATTATAAGTAAAAGTTAAGCCAAAAACGTATGTAGAGTCTCTAATGCATACAAAATGCAATTTAAATATTAGAATACAAAGTATCTTACCTTGTAGCATCTTTATTAATGCATTGAGGCACACAACAACTATGTACCAGTTACTTTAACCATTACGGAGGAATCTAAATATTACACATTTGGCAATAACGAAATAGTTCAATACACCGTATTAATCTTAGCAATACTTTACTGTAACATAGAATTTTTAGGGGCCCCATGTTAAGAGCCTCCGGTGTTAAATGGGACGTTCGAAAGACCCAGCCTTACGAGATATACGGCGAAATAGACTTTGAAGTGCCCGTTGGAAAACACGGAGATATTTACGACAGGTAAGAGAACTGGATAATCCGTAAGAACTCATTGCGGTCAACATCGCAGGCTACAATTGCCAAGTACGATTATACCTACTCAAAAGTTAATTGACTGTTGGGATTTTTAAGAAGTTAGCTAAGCCGTAGCGATATTTTAAAAAGGGAGAAGGTAAGTTAAGAAAGATCAATTGTTTCCCATTATTGGAAGAGTAAATATCACGAGATTTCCAGTGGCATATTTTTCTTTTATTTTATATATTTTCAGAGTAATTTAATATATTTTACATTTTTATTCCAATATAGAACACACAACTAAAAACACAGAAGCCCAAAAATATTAATCTATTTAGTAAAATACGGAATAGTTAATTGAAACAATATCTAAATCATTCTGAGACTATACAGGGTGTTCTGAAATAAACCGGTATCCCAAAACAGGTATCCCTTTTTTAAAGCTAAAGTGTTGTAAGTTTCGTAAATTGGTCCTTTCTGTTCAAATTCCGGAAAAAAATGTGTCAAGATGTCGCCCTTTGGGAAAAATGAATAACATATTCCTAATTGGACACCTAATTAGACCGCCACTTTGACTAACCATCCCCTACAACATCCCGGAGTTTGTAACCTGAATTTCCGGACATCCTGTATATTGAGCTTTTTCATACTAATGTGCTACCCTGTATACAACTTTATTGTTTGCTTTAGAAGATGCAAAACATTATGGCCACGATTATTGTATTATTGCTTTTGATCAATCTTTGTATGCAAAAGCTCAAGAAATTGTATCTGCAGCACCTGAAGGATCTAAATTATCGAAGATCATAGTAAGACTTGGAGGATTTTATGTACTAATGTCTTTTCTTGGAGCAATTGGTTATACAGGATGTTTTACAACTAATCCAACAAATTTTAACCACATATGCACTGTTTCGAGTGAAGTTGATTTCCCAAAAAAAATGTAATAAAAGTCTTACAGAAATCGAGATAATAAAATAATAGTTTAACAGTTCAATTACTTATACAAGATGCTCAAAATTGTTCCCTATTACTGCAATGCAAGTTTGAGTGCGTCTAATCCAATTTCGGCGCACTAATACACCTCCTTCCTGCTGATTCTGAAGCCTCAAATTATCGGCAGCCACTGTGATTTGGTCACGAAATTCTTCAATATGCTGAACTGGAGTACGGTATAACTCGTTTTTTAAGTATCCCCATAGAAAGTAGTCCAAAGGACTTCTTTTATAACAGTGCATATGCGGTTAGAATTTGTCGGATAAGTTGTGAAACACCCTGTATTATGCAATTTATGCACCGAGTTCATTAGAAAAAATGCTCAATGGTCCTACTTTGAGTTGTTAGAGCTCATAAAACATGCTTATACTTTTCTTCATTGCTTATACTTAATTATTTCCTATTATGGTATTGATGAAATAGCTGAAGAATTACTTACTCAGTTTAACGAAAAACGAACAAGGAGCACGAGGACCTACAGCTAAACTATGACGTTCTGCTAAATTAAATTGTGGAACTTCGACGGATATGGTGATTGAACAATCAATGAAATCTATGAAAACAGAGGGAGGTGTAAGACTACTTACAATAGGGTTTTGCTTGATTCCCCAAGATTGGAACCGGTAAGAACGATCTTCTGTACCACGCATCCTATGGCCCCGGTCCTCCCGCCTCAGGATTCAGGTTTTTGCCAGGTCTAAGCCACGACTCTCTGGACTCTCTGGACCCCGACCCTCTGGACTCTCTGTCAAGCTCATATTTTATTTTAAATAGTTTAAATAGTTCTGATGGACTTTTATTGACCTAGGCGATTCCGATGCCACGGAACCTGTTTGTCGAAAACTTTAAACCCACGACTACACTAAATTTATCGACGACAAGAAACGTCGAATTGCCACTACAAACAAATCGTTCGCTTTAAAAACCGCTTCGACTGAAAACCGAAAATCCGCAAGTATTCACCACAAATTTCCATCGCTACCCCTCCCCCCCCCAAACTTTTCAAACGGTTACACAGGACTTGTTCGAAAACCGAAATCTACTCTGTCACCTTGTATGAACTTTTGAAATAAGCAAAGAAATTACTATATTAAGTATATTTATTATACGTTTAATGAGTACCAATTTATCTTTCTTAAGGTAGAGGTTCATTAAAATTAAAAGAAGTTTAAATTTTCTATACATAGTTATTGCCATATTTACTTTTGTAAAAATTCTTTGGTCAAAAGCCTATATTTGGTGAGGTCTACATGGTGTACGCGCAGATGACTGCAACGAATTCTTATAAATTACTCTAAACTAATTTATTAATCTAAGGGCGCGGGGGCACGCATCAAGTAGCTAAAGCAAGTTACTTGATTTAGTAACCTGTTTTAGCTTTTTGATACGTGTCCCTGCGCCTTTAAGAAATTCTACCCTTGAATAAATCGCAGGTATCTGTGCCGCATGCACGAAATGCGCCAATCCTGTCACATAATAGAACAGTGTTTGAATAAAATTCCGAAGGGTGAAATTATGACAGACGATTTTAAAGTTTGTCCGCCAACTAGAAAAGAAATGAAAGTACGTAATATCTTATTTCGAATTTATTTTCATTACTGTTTTACATACAGTGCATTTCTTTAATCCTCCCCCCCTTTTATTTTTTGAACGGATCAACTTAGAAAATTGAAATTTGGGATAATGAAACTAATGCATGATTATTATATTTTGGAGTAAAAATGATAGATGAAAATTTCAAGATGGTGACTGGGCGCCATCTTGGGAAATAAATTTAAATGGAAAAGGGGGGTCTTGTGATACATCATTTTGAAGCTCCTGACAAATACTCTACAACCCTGGAATATAAAGTTAATATCTGCACCTGCTACAAATTGGCGGACATTTATAAATTACCTGAATACATCGATGTTTAACGTCATAATTTGAGGAAATAAGCTGAGTTCAGTTCAAAAAATGCTCGAAATGGTTGCCTTGAACTTCTTGATGTAAGAACAGCCTAACCGAACATTTTCGAACATAGTAACATCGAAAGAACAATCGATAGAACATTTTTACAAATATCTGTAATTATTTCTCGTATATACAATATTGAAGCAGGTTTAGTTTCGTACACATTTTGCTTCAAATAGTCCCATAAAAAAAGTCTAAAGGTGTCAAATCTGGCGAGCGGGCTGGCCATTCCGTAGGACCTCGACAACCAATCCAACTACCATGGAAAATAGCATCCAAATAGTTCATTACTTGTCTGGAGTAATGTGGTGGTGCTCCATCTTCCAATGGACGAGAATTGGCCATTTTAGAGTTAGTTCACGTGGTACCTGACTACAATGAGAACTAAACAAGCGAAAACTAAATGAAAATACTTTGAACACTAGGAAAATCGAAAACTAAAGAGAATATTTTGAACACTAGGAAAACCAAAAACTAAATGAGCATATTTTGACTAAACAATTAATGTTCGTTGTCGTACTTAAATTTTTTGGAATTTTTTTAACCAAAAATAACCTGTCAAACCTTATCGATTTGCTGGGATTGTTTGTATTCAGGTAATTATTAAATGTTCCGCCATTTTGAAATGGGTGCAGATATTGACTTTATATTCCAGGGTTGTAGAGTATTTGTCAGGAGCTTTAAAATGATGTATCACAAGACCCCCCTTTCCATTTAAATTTATTTCTCAAGATGGCGCCCAGTCGCCATCTTGAAATTTTCATCTGTCAATTTTACTTCAAAATATAGTAATCATGCATTAGTTTCATTATCCCAAATTTCAATTTTCTAAGTTGATCCGTTAAAAAAATAAAAGGGGGGGGGGACATTAAAGAAATGCACTGTATGTCTTTTATTTCGACAGACTTCCATGGAGAGCTTGATTCATCACTTCAAACTGTTTTCGCAAGGATTCCAAGTCCCCCCGGGTGACACTTACACCTGTGTGGAGCATCCTAAAGGCTGGGATTATTCTTTTTAACACATGAATAGATCTAAATATTTTTTTTTAGGAGAATTTGGCGTGTATTTGGTATCGGACGGAAGCAGTATGCCCTACAGGTGCAAAATTAGAGCGCCCAGTTTTATACATTTATCAGCCATGAATTATTTGGGGAAGAATTTATTTTTGGCTGACGTTGTAGCCGTTTTAGGTTTGTTACGAATAATCAAAGTCAGATTTTCCTGTAGACTAATCACGCTTTAGCACAGGGAATAGTGGTAGCTTTCTTCACCTAAATCCGATCTTAATTTTCTTAGGTAACGTTTTCCTTATTTAATTAGAACTTGAAAAATTGTTGGTAAAAGTGGCTCATGAGTGAAGATCTATTCATTTAAATCCGGTAATGATTTTCTTACATAATGGTATTTTTTAGATAGATTTTCTTGTTATATGATGGACTATTTATCCAACATAATATACAGAGTGTCTCAGAAAGGTTGGGACACGGGTTAACTACATACTTCTGAGGCTATAATTGGATTATTTAACCTTACTTACCCATATTCTAAAGTGTTTAGTAAAAAATATACAGGGTGTTTAAAGTGAAAAATCGAAAAGAGACTTTTTGATATTGGACCAGAATGACTGAAGGCTTTTTAATAAAAATTTGTACATTGTGTGTTTTTTTTAATGTTTCTAATTCACCCGTCTTAGATTTAACCGGGGGGTCAAACTACCTAGATATATCGGTTTATTTAAAATATTTTTACTTTTTCTAATTCTCACATATTATAAGAAATAAATCTTTTTTTTTGCCATTTATACCGATTTTTATAAAATCTCTTTCAATTTTTTTCTAATCTATTTAGAGAAGGTCATAGGTGACTAAACAAAGATATTCTGTACAAATGTTCATTCAATATCAAAAAATGTCTTATTGATTTTCAACTTTAACACGCTATAACTTCGTTGCTATGCTCCTTTGGATATAGGTAAGTTATAGGTATTTTTCTGCAACTGACTTTTCTGGCAGCCAAGACGCTCAGGTGTCCATTTTGTAGCACTGCTTTTTAAATCTCTCCACACAAATCTGCCGATTGGTAACATTTTCACCGTGCTTCCGATATTCCACCTGTCGGTGTCCCGATGTCCCGGTTTCGAGATCCCTCTCGGAAGACTCCAGTGGAAGGGCCCTGCTTAGGTCGCCCATCTCCTAAGTCTCCTCCGAGGACCCCTCTTTCAAAGCCCTCCCTTCTTTTTTTTTCTTAAATGGTGTCCGTTATAAACGCTCAGTATTTCATTCGTACTTCGATCATTTGCTTGCAAATATTAAATTTTTTTCTCCATCTTGGAAATAAATCTTTTATCATTTCTCTTTTCTTCGCTGTGTCAATGTTATACGGGGAATTTGGTCTCTTCAGCCCTCGCGTAGGAATCTTATAACCCTCGCCCCAGACATCGTTGTCAATCTTCTGGCACTTCTTTCTCCATATATCTCTTTTTGCCTTATTTATTAAGCGTCTGTGTTTTTTCCTAATTAGGGATTCCTATATAAATGTGTCAAAAGCAAGCTAACTTTTTTACCAAATAACGTTCATAAATAATAATAACAGATTTGAAAAGATCGTCAAAAAATTTGTGAAAATGGACATTCAATTTTCTTAAATTCGTTCTGGGTTATTAAAAAAAGTTATACGCCATAAATAAGTCCTTTTTACAAAACTATCTAATTTGTTGTAAAAGGGGCGGAGCTAACAGAGATGGTTTACGCTCTGCAATTTATGGCGTATGACTTTTTCAACTTAATTATATATTTTTTTTAATCAACCAGAACGAATTTAAGAAAATTTAATGTCCATTTCCACTAATTTTTTGACGATCTTTTCAAATATGTTATTATTTTTTACGAACGTTATTTGGTAAAAAAGTTAGCTTGCTTTTGACACATTTATATAGGAATCCCTATGTCGCATCTTATAAATAACACAGTGTATACGTATTTTATTAACACCTCTCCACTGCTCATCTGTTATCCTGTCCTTGGATATCTTGGATGTTACCCTGTCCTTCACTGACTTCATCGTTTTACCAGTAAATTAGACTTGGCCTAGGTCTTTGCGATCAATAAAGGCCTATGTTCAAATTATTATTGATGGAATTCGATATTGTATCATGGAATTTACAAACTTGAAAAATAGGAGATGAAGAGTTAGCCTTGAGCGTTTCTTCCTCTAAATCCGAATCTGCTAATATTATTTCATTTTTAATAAGAGTTGTCATTTTATATTTCAGCTACACTAGATATTGTTTTTGGAGATGTTGATAGATGAATGGAAGTTATAATTAGCACTTTGTAGGTTGTAATTGTGTTTTTTTATTGAGAATATTAAAACGAGTATTTTTACAAAAAAATTGTTTTATTTATTTTTGTTTCGAACTTCGTTTTCTTCCTTAAAAATTAAACAATGATTAACGGTGTGTTGCTACTATATTACACTTATTATTGAGTTATGACTTGCATTACGTAATGCTACTTGTCCATTTGAGAGTTTTCCTGAGAGCAACTCTCGAAAGTTACTCTTAGGTCTTTGTTCATTTGAGAGGAAACTCACGAATTTTTACTCTCTGAGAGTGCAAAATGCTAGTTGCGAGTTTTATAAAATTAAAACTTTCAGAACCGTGTCCACTAGGTTTTTGCTGAGAGTAATCTACAGTTTGGAACATTATTAAGCCCGTTTTTAACATAGCACCTTTTTAACAGATTAAGGTACTTTTATCAAAAATCTATTTACTAATCATAATAAATGCCATATTTAACAGTTTTTATAAATTAATGAAATTATTTTTATTATTAATGTGGGAATGATAGCGTGCGCTACCGTGGAGCGTTGTTACGGTCGTTGAAGTTAATTGTTTTATTGAATATATTAAGTCAAGTTGAGTTTGGATTCATGTAAAGATTTTGGGAAGTATAAGTTCATTTTTATCGAGAATTTCATTTGCGACCACTGAAGGGTGCCGTTTCTCTACATTTGGGGGCTCGTCCAGTAAAAAATAATAATTTTTCCGAAGAAGATGGTTTAATAATCATACTGCTGTGGACTTAGTGAACATCAGTCGATAAGGCGTATAAGACGAATAAGGCGAAGAAGACGTAAAGAAGATGGTGACACTAGGCCAAATTAACAATAGTGAAAGAAATATTTCGATTGCACGGACGAAGGTCCTACAGACCTTGTATAAGCTAGTCTTTGAAAGTGAATTGGCAGACCGAAAACGATGCAGAGAGCAACTGCGAAAATGGGAGTGGGATTCAGAGGAACATGCGAATAAAATAGATGACATTATACAACATTTCGATAAATCCGATTTGGTAGCAATGTGTAACATCCTGTGTCTGGACTGGTTTTAGTGCTACTAAAATCAAGGAACGGACAAGATACGACGAGGACGACGAAGACGACGAATACGAAGACGACGAAGTCAAAGACGACGAACATAAAGATGACGAAGACGACGAAGAAAACGATATTAATTATGAAGACGATAACGACGAAAATAAATGTAAAGCTAAGACAAGACCAACACACGCTAAAGGTCATAAATTTTGCTGCTATGATGAGTTGCTACGATTTATGGCTACTTGCCCTCTTATTCGTGGTGTTCAACTCGCGCTTCGCCGATTCCTTTATCGGCGGAACCTCTTTGCTACGGGACGTAGCGGTAAAGTCTTGGCTTTCTCTTTACTCTGAAAATGGGGGTTCTACTAGGGGCCCAGAGAATGATACTCAGAGAGATAATAACTAACAAGTATATTGCTTAAATCTAAGTACACAAGGGTGAGGTACTTGTACCTCACCAAGCGATAACAAATAGCTCTACAAACTACCCTACCTCATCTAGAAGGTCTTGCAGACTTCTGGGGCACGTCACGTGAGCCGGCGCGATCTTTTTGCTTTTTCGAGCACTTATAACACCGTTACACTTTGATTCGGTGGAACTACAACACACTCTCGGAACTACTTTTACAATTCGATTTGGCCCACAAGAAATCACGCGTACTGACCCTTATCGTACGGGATAAGGAATCTCCCCGGGCGCGAGCCGGTTAGGCTTCTTATGCCAACCAATCTCCCCCGTTTGTCCACCGTTCTCACGGTGGTCCAACCGACGGTGGAGTTTGGTTGCATTCTGTTTTACATGATTCCTCGAAATATTTCACCTATCGTTGCACTATTAGCAACGATTCTCACAGGTTCAATACTCGAGTGTACCAACCGTCTCACGACCCATTGGCGTTCGTGACAATATATTCTTCATTTTGTAAAGCTCGCTTAAATTGTTTAAGTCTAAAACAAATAAAAAGTTGCGGCACATGCTAATAGTGGCTATGTAGAATAATTTTAAAAATTCGCTCTTGTATAAAAGTATGGAGGTTTTTACCGCTTAAAGTGCGAATATTTATGCGAGTAAATTTATATTACTATACAGGGTGACCCAGGGTCGCGTTAAAGTCCCATAACTTTTTACCTAATTGAGATATCGACTTGATTTTTTTTTCAAAAGGTAGGTACAATAATACTGCGTATTATTAAAATAGTTTCGTCTATATACAGGGTGGCTTAGTATTAGAAATTCACTAAAGTTACCTTTTTTTTAATGGAACCCCCTGTATATTATAACATTTTTGAATTCTTTAGTGAATTTTAGTGTGACTTTATGTACCATACATTGTACCTAAAACCAATCGTTTAGTGGTAATTCGACATTTTAGAAAAAAGTAGAGGTTTGAAAAAAAATGAATATTGCCGCTTTTGTAAAACTTAGAAGGCCGTGACTCTGGGTTATTAGTAAACATGAAATGTACTACTGTGTGACAGGGATTCAGAATTGAATACTGTTTGTGTTCTTAGATATCGATACGCCAATTTACAAAATTTCAATTAAAGGTAACTTGATTTTTTTAAATGAAACTACCTACTTTTTTGTACACCATCTTGTAGGAAATTTTATTGCCTTTCTAACGATATAATATTGTCAATATTTTTACCTGCTAGTTTTCTCTTAATTCCGGAATTTCTTATAATTCGCGGTAATTTTCAATTTTCAATAATACTGTTCAAAGTGGCTCAATATAGTAAATTAAATTAAAATAAAACAAAAATTTTATAAAAGATAGTGAGTTATAAAAAAAGTATACAGATCAATCAATCAACTACAATTTATTTGATTATAGGGAGATAATGATAATGTACAAGGAATAATGTAAAGAACAGTTTTTTTTGATAGCACAATAATTTTTCTTACAGTAGATGCTCAAAGATATTGCTATTATGTTCGATTACGTCTTCTTAAAAACTAATTTTTAAAGCGCGTTAGCATGTTTTGATCAATTGATCGAAAAGCGTCTCTTATCCGGATCTTCACGTCGTTAGCTGTTGTTGGCCTGCCCGTTCCCGCGATTTGACACCAATTGATTTTTTCCTATGAGGATTTGTTAAGGACAATGTCTATAGTGTTAGGCCAACAACAGCTAACTACCGCGAATACTACTAAATTACCGCGAATTATAAGAAATTCCGGAATTAACAGAAAACTAGCAGGTAAAAATATTGACAATATTATATCGTTAGAAAGGCAATAAAATTTCCTACAAGATGGTGTACAAAAAAGTAGGTTGTTTCATTTAAAAAAATCAAGTTACCTTTAATTGAAATTTTGTAAATTGGCGTATCGATATCTAAGAACACAAACAGTATTCAATTCTGAATCCCTGTCACACAGTAGTACATTTCATGTTTACTAATAACCCAGAGTCACGGCCTTCTAAGTTTTACAAAAGCGGCAATATTCATTTTTTTTCAAACCTCTACTTTTTTCTAAAATGTCGAATTACCACTAAACGATTGGTTTTAGGTACAATGTATGGTACATAAAGTCACACTAAAATTCACTAAAGAATTCAAAAATGTTATAATATACAGGGGGTTCCATTAAAAAAAAGGTAACTTTAGTGAATTTCTAATACTAAGCCACCCTGTATATAGACGAAACTATTTTAATAATACGCAGTATTATTGTACCTACCTTTTGAAAAAAAAATCAAGTCGATATCTCAATTAGGTAAAAAGTTATGGGACTTTAACGCGACCCTGGGTCACCCTGTATGTATCTATCTTACTATATCTATACAGGGTGATTCTGAAATAAGTGGTCAAACTTTGGGAGCAAGTAGAGAACCTCAAAATAAGAGAAAAACTTAAAAGCCATTTTTTCGAATTCTCCTTGGTTATTAGTATACTAGTTAGTATATTAGTTAGTTTTAACGTGCACCAGAATATCTAGAACAGAATGGTCTCATAAGTGACAACCAGTACGGCTTCCGACACAGTCGCTCAACAGGTGACCTGCTCACTTATGTTACACACATTTGGACAAGTGTTATCGAGAACCACGGAGAATCAATAGCGGTCGCTTTAGATATATCTAAGGCCTTCGACCGGGTTTGGCACAAAGCACTGCTATCTAAGCTGGCATCCTACGGTCTGCCCCAAAAACTATGCGGACTTATAGAGAGCTTTCTGCATAGGAGACAAATTCAAGTGGTGGTTGACGGTGCAACTTCAGATCCTTACTTTTTGAACGCTGGTGTACCTCAAGGATCGATTTTATCACCAACTCTATTCTTAATTCACATAAATGATCTTTTAAATTCAACCAAAAACAAAATTCTCAGCTTCGCAGATGATAGCACTCTCATAGCATCCACTACAAACAAGAGACCTGTCAGTGCATCTAAATCAAGTCGCCAAAGGCTCTTGCAAGCTGAGTCCATCAACAACGACCTTCAAATTATTTTGAAGTGGGGATCCGATAATCTGGTTGAATTCAACGCCTCCAAGGCCCAGGCAACCATGTTTACAAGAAAGACGTCCTCCGTCATACCCCAACTAGCATTGAATAACCAAACAATTAAAACAACTAATAAATTACATCTTTTAGGGGTCAGCATTAATTCAAATGCAACCTGGCATGAACATGTTTCCACCATAGCTAAATCAGCCGCCCAGAAGCTTAGTTACTTATTTCGTGCCAGAAAAATGTTCACACCAAAGCAGCTTCTGTTACTCTATAAGGCTCAAGTTCGTCCAGCATTGGAATATTGCTCTCATGCTTGGAGTTCTGCTCCTAAGCACTTCTTGCACCTACTAGACTCCATTCAAAAAAGAGCAGTGCGCCTGGTTGATGACCCCTCATTAACCTCTAACCTTCATACACTAGACCATCGTAGAAGGGTTAGCGACTTAAGTCTCTTTTACAGATATTACCA